ATGAAGACATGATGAAGACTCAGGCTCATGATGAAAACATGATGAAGACTCAGGCTCATGATGAAAACATGATGAAGACTCAGGCTCATGATGAAAACATGATGAAGACTCAGGCTCATGATGAAGACATGATGAAGACTCAGGCTCATGATGAAAACATGATGAAGACTCAGGCTCATGATGAAGACATGATGAAGACTCAGGCTCATGATGAAGACTCAGGCTCATGATGAAGACATGATGAAGACTCAGGCTCATGATGAAGACATGATGAAGACTCAGGCTCATGATGAAAACATGATGAAGACTCAGGCTCATGATGAAAACATGATGAAGACTCAGGCTCATGATGAAAACATGATGAAGACTCAGGCTCATGATGAAGACATGATGAAGACTCAGGCTCATGATGAAAACATGATGAAGACTCAGGCTCATGATGAAGACATGATGAAGACTCAGGCTCATGATGAAGACATGATGAAGACTCAGGCTAACGATGAAGACATGATGAAGACTCAGGCTCATGATGAAGACTCAGGCTCATGATGAAGACTCAGGCTCATGATGAAGATATGATGAAGACTCAGGATCATGATGAAGACTCAGGCTCATGGTGAAGACTCAGACTCATGGTGAAGACTCAGGCTCATGGTGAAGACTCAGGCTCATGATGAAGACATGATGAAGACTCAGGCTCATGATGAAAACATGATGAAGACTCAGGCTCATGATGAACACATGATGAAGACTCAGGCTCATGATGAAAACATGATGAAGACTCAGGCTCATGATGAAGACTCAGGATGATAGCATGATGAAGCTCTCGGTCTAATCCCTGTCAACCCTAACAGTCCGGATGCCATCTATGGAAAAGTTGTTGTCAGATATCTCTTTTTCTCTTTTTGTGGCCCTCAGATTAATTTATAAACAATGTAATTAATTTAAAAAATAAAAATGTTTTTATTTGTATTTATTTATTTTTACTTGTAGTACTGATACCGTCCACTAGACTCCTAGTTACGTTGCGAGCTACGTACAAGATTTTGTTCGGCAGCCAAATACCGCGAACGAATCAGTGACGCGTTTGTGTGTATTGTGTTTGTATCCTGGGGAAAACACCGGCTGTTGTTATGCCTGCTGTGACGTTAAGTTACCGCTTGTAATTATGCCTATTGATTGATTGATTGAAAAGTTTATTAACAGCTTGTATATTGGGTACAGTACAGTACAGCTCAAAACATACAATTGTTAAGGGGATGCAGACCAGAGAAAGACTTTCGTCTTGTTTACATCAGGGTCCCCCATTTCCAATTCATCATATAAAACAAGCTTCAAAGTTGTATTCATCATCTGAATTTGGCGAAACAAGTTTAATATTCTAAAAGCCAAGACTTTGTTTATTTGAAAACTATTGTCAAGTCACGGACCCTGCCGTGTTATCTATGATTACTATACGCCTTTCATTAATAATTTCAGCGGGAGGGAGGGGGAGCGGTGCTGAGGAACAGCAGAGAGTTGACAGGTGTCTGTGTTGACATTCCCCTTATTGTGCGTCAGCAGAGACAGGCTACAAGTGTCTTAGGTTCAAGTTAGACAACTAATGTCTGGGTTAGTGTTCATGACTTCATGTTTAGGTCATCTTAATGGTTAGTCTCAATGCACACACATTTTCCGTGCTTTCCAATAGTTTAAAATAGTTGTATTCCACTGTTAAATAACCTGTTCAATACAAACGTGCCACTTGTGAAAATGAAATAACAGTTCTGTGAACTGATATTTGTTTAGTGAGCTTATTAGAGGACGTTCCCTGAAAGATTGAAAAAGGTCAATGAAGATGTCAGACTTAACTATTTGTTAATAATTACATACGGAATTTGTGTGTGTGTGTTCCAAGTGAATCTGCGGCCCCCTGGTGGCCAGTACATCAATTATGTGGCCCCTACCACCATCCAAGTTGCCCATCCCTGCTCCAGATAATCCTTCTGGCTTCTGGCTAACGCCGTTAGCTTGTCTATTTTGTTCGCCGTGATCTTGTGTTGCCCATGATGAGAGGGGGAAACATGGCTCAGATCTCCTTTTCTCTAAACATGGATCCAGCTCTTGTCCTTCTTCGCTTGGTTAAACCGTTGTGACTCTAAGACCCCATGACATCACAGCCGGTATTAACATCTCATTCAAACATGCCAGGACTCACAGATCAGCTGCTCTGCCGGAGGCTTCTGTCACTGCTCAAGCTTCAGAAGCTCTCGGAAAAACTGACGCACACACACTCCTATTCTAACACTCTGTCATGCAGAGCCATGGTGGACACGGAATGTAAATTCAATGGAAACTAAATCCTGCTTCAGTTTAGGAAAGTGGCAGAGTATTTAAAAAAGAAAGAAGAACTAAATAAGACTAGAGACAGTTATGTGATTGGATCGAACCATCCCGAACACCAATCAGGCCAGCAGGGTAAAGGGCAATGGCCCCTTCCCCACTTCCTTCCCCCTAAATCCAGGGCAGACGACCATCTTTGTACTCAGTGTGTATTGTGATCTAAACTACACACTCGTAGTACATAATCTTTGCAGATATCTAAATCGGCATCATTGCTGATTCAAATAGCTGCAAAGCGTTTTAAACCTGTATTAGCTGGAATGGACATCATTGTGTCAAACTGATGGACCTGTAACCCCCCGCTAAAATGCCTGAATGTTTTTTTTTCTGTACTGTATATTTTCTTTTACTACAGCCTCCTAAGATTCAATTGACTTTCTATATTTAGCATCCATTTACACTTTTATCTACTCCTGCATATGTCACTGTTATTTTCCTTAATTGCTTTAGGCAACAGTGATATACCGAATAATTGATTTATTGATTGCTGTGTGCTAAAGGGAGGGTTGTTTTTGTGATTGTAATATATTGTTCTTTATGCTCATGCTCAGGTACAGACCAGATTGTCTTTCATTAGAAGATAAATTAAGCCTGGAGTTAGTCTCACAGACTCTTCTCTCCGCAGCATATACCGTGATCAATGCACCGTTAGCACTATGGCCATGTTTTGAAGCCACTTGATGGCCAGGCACAGATAGCTAGTATCAACAAATGTGAAGTCTATGCCAACCTCATGGTGAGCAAAGAGAACATTGTGTATCATGTGAATGCAGCTTTAGCATTACTTTGAACTCTGGCTGGCCTGGATCTACATGTAGCCAGAAAAAAACAATACATATTGGAATACAATTAACTCCCAATTTCTTTCTTTGTGTTTGCTGTGGGAAGAGACACGGTTGAAGCCTTAATTAGAGCTAGATATAAACCCTGTAAATATTTACATTCACACAATAATCCACTCCACATCAGCAGGCTTACTAGATACTAAATCTGATGCTCTGTTAAGAACACATCATGTTTTTTATAATGGAAGTAACCTGATCTACCCATTGAGGGTTTGGTTTTTATTTATAATTTGGATTTTAGACTTCTTCTATGAAAATGCACATGTCTTTAGTTAGAAAACGATTTATTTAATTTTTCTTCCATTATAGTTGCTGTCCACCATTCCATTGAGTTCTCATTACAACTAACTGCTGTCACTCACCGTTCAATTCCTCCTCTGCTCCAAACAACGTAGTACTTCAATGTTTTTCATTCTCATTTGTTCAAAATGAATTTGAAACAATGCAAAGATAAGACAAGTAAAACATCATCATTTGTTTTCATTAAAAAGACAGGGGTGTGCTACAAAATCCAGTTAAAGTATCATTTTGCTTCAAAAGAAGAACAAAAAGATCATCGCTAATATAATTATTTGACACATAAATGCGTAGGCTATCATATGGTGATTCATTTCTCAGCTTTTTCACCGCCTTATTCAAATGCACATTGTGCATCATTGAGCAGGCCTTGCACTCTATTATTCAAATGTTTCTTGGTCAAATTGGAAAATGGCTCATGAATAATGCAAAGTGGAGGTCAATGAGTGAAATCAACTGAAGAGTGAAAGTGTCTCTCAGTTCTGAACCCTGTCTGTGCACCCGTCAGAGTCGGTTGCGATGTGAACGTTAAATGAACCTTGGTAATGGAGCCGCACTAAGTGACTGTGTGTGATTCACAACAATCACCAAGGGGACATTTCCACTGCAGGGCCTCGCACGGCTTAGTATGGTATAGTTAGGCCTTGGTAGGCCAGGCTCACTTTATGCTGCGTTTCCATTACAGTTTAGTAGCTGGGGTAGTAACTATAGTAACGCAGTGTAGGTGGAGCCGTGACGTCATCTTCAATGCGAACCACAGAAAACCAACATCAGCCGTTAGCTGTTAGCCCTCAGAGATCAACCAGCTCCTCATATCTGTTCAGAAACTAGACAAAAGTGAAACAAGTACAAACCACAGACTGTCTGTGTCATGGTGAATACAGTCGCTGCTTTATTTATGTCTGTATAGGCCGTTGTTGTGAGTGTGGACGGTCGGAGCATATACTGCGTTAGCTTAGCCAATCTCCATTTAGACAACACGCATTTTAAAAGGTTTTTCGCCTGCCGTCTGTCTGCAGACTTGCCAAAGCTTTAATTCATGGTTTTACTAACCGGTATCAGTATGTTGTTACTTCGGCATCATTTTGAAACGTGTATTACAATCATGGTGAAATATGTTCATTTTGTTGTAGTTGTAGCCCCCTTGCCAGCGATTCTCTCACTAGTTTAGCATATTCAGCCCGGTTGTTGGCCCGGAAAGAACCTGGATTTTGGAGAGCCAGAAAAACTGTGAAACAGTACCCGTTAGCCGGAACTACCCCTAGTGGAAACGCAACAAAAAACGGGCCGGGTTTGGCCCGGCACGCTTAAACCGTGCTACGCGCTGCAGTGGAAATGCGCCATTAGGCTGCGGCACGGCTGGAAACTGCACTGAAACACAGTGAAGCAGAGACAGGAAACATGGGATGTGTTCACATCATCCCTTCTTCCCATACAGTCTCCTCATCCCTCTCACCCCCTCCTCTGTGTCTCCAGGCCCCGGCCCCCCTGCAGACCAGACGGTGGTCATCGAGGAGTTCCGCTACCTGTCCCAGAACATCTTCGTGTCTGTATCCGTCTTCGCTGGGTTGGGAATCCTGCTGGGAATCGTCTGCCTCACCTTCAACATCTACAACAGCAATGTCAGGTAAAAAAGCTCAGACTTACTCGGTATGGATTAGAGGCCGAGCTATAAGCAGAGATGGGAAGTAGTAGAGTACAAATACTTTGTTACTGTACTTAAGTAAATTTGTCTGGTATCAGTACTTTACTCCACTACTTATTTTTTACTTTTTACTTTTACTTCTTACATTTTGAACACAAATCCCTGTACTTTCTACTTCTTACATTTTGAACACAAATCCCTGTACTTTCTACTTCTTACATTTTGAACACAAATCCCTGTACTTTCTACTTCTTACATGTTGAACCCAAATACCTGTACTTTCTACTTCTTACATGTTGAACACAAATACCTGAACTTTCTACTTCTTACATTTTCCAAACAGGCTGGTTCCTTTAGTTTGAATGTGTGTTTGGTGGTGTGATCATTATTATTTAGAGTCATTGCGTGCCTATTGATTTGAACACGATCCGTGTATCCATCATTTCCTGGTCTTCTCTAAAGAAGAGGGACCAATGAAAACGTTGTCATGTTGCCGTTGTTCAGCATGGAAACATTCATTAGCTAACAATGACATTATTGTTCTATTAATATAAAGGGAGGTCAGGTACTCTTTAAAACAGCTGCTAGTTATGGGTACTTTTTACTGAAGTACATTTCAAAGCCCTTATTTATTTACTTTTACTTGAGTAAATAAGTTTAGTCAGTACTTCTACTTTTACCAGTGTATTTTTAAACACAAGTATCTGTACTTCTACTTGAGTAAAGGATGTGTGTACCTTTGCCATCTCTGGCTATCAGACCAGTTTGATCGGACTGGACTATGTGAGTAAGAAAGGGCAAGAGACAAACATTTGAATGGCCAAACATTCCCCTGGCCCTTTTTGAAAATGTAATTTGGACATGTACATATCTAGAAATGCAGAACTCAGTGTGTATGTGTGTGTTGCTGCAGGTACATCCAGAACTCCCAGCCCTACCTGAACAACATGACTGCAGTGGGCTGTATGATGGCTCTGGCCGCGGTCTTCCCTCTGGGCCTGGACGGCCTGCACGTCAGCGCGAGACACTTCCCCGCCGTCTGCCAGGTACTGGCTAAAGAACATTATTATTGGATTTCAAACTTACTGAATATTGGTTTAATGTGGAGATAGGCATGCAATGTAAGGTGAAGACTCAGACTCATGGTGAAGACATGGTGCAATCCTCGTTGGCCCAAACGTTCCGGAAGCCAAATATATCCTGGTGAAGCCATATGTTTCCATAAACACTGGAGATGCTCTTTCTGAATACTAAGTAACTGTGTTAAAATAAGAAGATTTGTACTGGACTTAATTCCGGGTTAGGGTTAGGGGTATAGTTAGGGTTACGTTTGTAAGGAACCTGACGTAAAGTTACTCAGTGTTAACTTTTGGGTTTCCATGGGATTGATTGATTGATTGATTGATTGAAAAGTTTATTAACAGCTTGTATATTGGGTACAGTACAGTACAGCTCAAAACATACAATTGTTAAGGGGATGCAGACCAGAGAAAGACTTTCGTCTTGTTTACATCAGGGTCCCCCATTTCCAATTCATCATATCATTTAAGACATATAAGACATATTTGACATACAGATGGCTTATTTACAATTTACATACAGGTGGTTTTTTACATACAGATGGCTTATTTACAATTTTCATTTTAGATTTCGTTCTAATACATCCTAACCGGACATTTAAGACATACCAAGTCTACAGATATCCAGTTAGTAACAGAGTCTAAAATGCGAGTATATACATAGATGGGGGGGGGAAGCTGTCCATTGTACGACAGGTTGGGACACCTCGGTAACATCCTTTGTCGTTGACCTCGTAATACTAACGCTGGCCACTTGAGGTCACTGCCTAAGAATAAATGTATTAATGGATGGTAAGAAGCCATTTGCACGTAAGACGTTTTGGGTCGTTTTTCATGGGCGGCGTTACATACTTTCGCGTTGCACATCATAATTGGTGTGACTCTAGGGTTATTTGCTCTTACAATAATTTTCCCGACTGGCTTGTCAAGTGAAACTGAGAGTCGAGGTAATGATCGCTAAGAGAAATTAACCCTGACGTTTTTCATGGCAGTCAGAAATATATGCTAATTTAAAAGTTGTTATCTCTCAACCTGCAACCGGTCCATCTCATCAAAGTTGTCACTTTTTTGTGGCCTTTTTCTGATTTGACATTTTGTACAGGTGGCTAAAAAGCTAACTACAGTATGACAATGATGTGAATGATTAAGCTAGGAAGAGGGCATCCCTGTTCCTGATCCTGCATATAAAGCTGTGATTCGTCAGTTGTTTTCACACTTGGGTGAAACATCCATCAAGAGGCACAATACCAGATCTATTTGAGTCATCCCTAAACTAAAACTAGATGTGGAGGGTGACTCACATGTCTGGCACCAGGATAAACGTGGTGTCGGCATTCATGCAGTTCACCTGTATCCCTATTCAGGAAACCATTTGTATTCAATAAATTATAGTTCAGACCATAAAATGACTGCAAGGTAGGGATACTTTTGGTAAACTAGTTCAGTCCCCCTAGCTCTTATTACATGTGAATGTTTCATTCCCCCAGAAATAAGATCAGAGCCAAACCAAATCCTTTACGCAAAGGAAGAAAATATTTAGTTTTAACCCCAGAAATATTCTGTTTTTTCAAGTCTTTAAGCTCACACTGTACCTCATGTTGTCAGCTGATAGCTGAGTGCTACAGTAGAGGTAGACGTACAGTGCTGTATTACGGAGCACAGCTTTGGAGCTTATGTTCATTTCAAGGTCATTTCTGAAGGGCTATTAAACTCAAACAGGGCTTAATGAGGCTGCATATCTGAAGAGCTGATTTGATTCATCTGTTTGATTTATTAATCAGTTTAATTATACCGTCTTTCATATATTTTCCTCTTTGCTAGTTCCGCCTCTGGCTGCTGGGTCTGGGTTTCAGCCTGGCTTATGGCAGCATGTTCACCAAGATCTGGTGGGTCCACACCGTCTTCACCAAGAAGGAAGAGAAGAAGGACAAGAGGAAGGTAAATGTGGAAGCTATGGATTAACGTTCCAGGAGGTAACTATAAGTCCACCCAGAGATCTTTATGCCAAGTGAAGGAGGGTGGGGGGGGGGGGGGGGGGGGGGGTTGGGTTGGGTTTACTTAATCATCATCCCAGTCAGGGGCGAGCTCCACTGCCGGAGATGATTCCACGATCACTTTCTGCCTCCAGTTGGCTCGCTGCTGGCCCTCCAGCGTTGTGAAGCATCTATTGGTCACGCTGCCTGCTGTAAACATGGCAGGACGTCCCCATCCACACCACAGGCTACCAGGTTTTTTTTTTTCAACCTTTGGAGCCACGGTACATTTTTCCCATTAAAGAAATCCCACAGCAAGTTACAAAATGACACATTGTAGCTTAATACACTTGTTTTCAAGACAGGTGTTTGGTTGGAGATGACGTGTAAGCTCAATTGGGACCATGGCACTATAGCAGGACTCATCCCAGCAGAGAGATACAGCATGCCGATGATTATTATTATTATCTTTAGGGTGAGGGAGCCTATTAGGCGGATTCTTTATATAAAGGCTGTGGACACTGACGGAGACCACTTCAAGCCACTTTACACCATGCTGCTGTGGCTCTTCAGTCTGAGGGTGGAGCAGACAGAGGGGATCTCTGAGACTACGCCACAGTTTGCTGTGTCTGAATCACACCTCCTTAAATGTAACTATGTTTTGGCTGCAGAGATAGAGGTTAACTGATTGGCCAGATTTGTTTTTTTGGAGCAGACAGGGATATGTTGCTTTTCACCAACGAACATCTAACAAAGCTCTTCTGCTCACTGTGTTCTCTGTCACACTCTAAATGAAAGAAGGCCAATGCATGCAACAGTTTCATTTGAGGCAAACTAGAAGTTTACTTAAAATAAGTGCAAAAAACACTTTTTTCAGATATATTCACTTTGAGTAAGTCATACCATTGTAAGTGCTGGTGAATCAGTTACAAGGCCTAAATTAACTTTTGAAGAGCTTTTTTTATTTGTAGAATTTAATTACCGAGGTACAATCGAATTATGTGTTTTCAGTCTGTGACGGAAGATCTGCAGACTTTCTTCTGTCCTGATGTCAATGGGGAGCTGATTCCACCATTTAGGAGGCAGGATAGCAAACAGGCGTGTTTTTGAGGGGTCCCTGGGTCCCAATCACAGTGAGGCAGTAGCAAGCTGATTGGCCGATGCAGAGCAAAGTGCACGTAGTGGAAGGGACGAAAACGTATCTCCAGCTCTAGTAAATGCCTAGCCCACTGTTGCTCTATATCGTACAGGAAATGAAAGAAATAAAGAGACATGTTTCCATGCTTTATTGGCGCCTTTGTTTACCTGTTTGAACATTAAAGCATGTCAACATGTCACAGTAGAGACACACAATACAAATATGAACCTGAACATGAGCAGAATAGAGCCCGTTTAACAAATACTCTGCTTCTCGTGCTGTAGTTTGAATATTGCCTAAGTCCACATTTCAAAGTTATTAGGTTAGACTGGCACTAAACATTAGACTAAAACAAATGTAATTGTGAACATTTCCGAGATATACCCAGCTTTATCTCTGCTCTGCCTTTGCAACGCTTCCTAAAAGCACCAGCTGGCGTGAAGACTGGATAAGATTGTGCTCAAAAAGAAATATTCACTCCAGCTGAATAAACAGAAAGCTGTGATTTTATGCAACAAAATCAATATCCACTTTGTAGCGTTGGAGCTGTTCCCACAGAATGTGTCTTTCTTTAGGGCGAGAACATAAAGGTACACCTTTGTTTATTATCGACTGAGTGAGGGTCTCTGTCAGGCCCGCTGCTCCCAGGCCAGATTGAATTGGTTCAGTTAGTGATGGATCATTGGTCTCTCTTCAGCTCAGACCGCTCTATTTATGGCTTCATAAATCTCTCTCTCACACAATCAGAAAGAGAGGATTTGTGCATTTTTCTGATCCCTGCTTCAGTGACCACCCCCCCTGTTCCCCCACAGCACCTGGAGCCGTGGAAACTCTACGCCACGGTCGGCGTCCTGCTGGCCATCGACATCCTGCTGCTCATGCTTTGGCAGATTGTTGATCCTCTACATATCACAGTGGAGGTATGATCACACACTCCTCTGTTATTTCTTTAGAACTTGCCAAAAACATTAAATGTCATTAATTTCTTTGTTACAACAATGGGGGTGGGAGACGTGGGAACCACAGAGTTGTTGGTTCAAGTCCTGATTGGACCAAACAATAAAGAAATGCTAATATAATATGTGGACTGCTAGCTGGAAATGTATCCTCTGGGATTAATAATAATATTAATATTGTATTATTATTATTTATTCCTTTTTTAAATGAATTGGTGTTGTAAATATTATTGACAGGGTTGACTGAGCAGAAACAAATAATAAAGCAGGTTTTTCACATTTGAAAATTACATTGAAAATTTAAATTAAAACAAATTAAATATTAAACATAATTAAATGAGGAATTAACTTTTTACAATTATTTTCTGCTACATTAACATATGGATTAAAATGATTTATTAATTTAAAAGTTTTTCAACAATTCAAGTTTAATGAAGTTATGTGTTTACATTACACAATACATTTCAGTTATTTAATGTTCCAAAACGCCCAGTAAGTGTAAGAAGCATATTCATGTATTTTTCTATGTTAGATTTTAATGATTAATTTGGCAGTATTTTACGCAAGAGTGTAATATTCTGATTATTCTGTCAGTCAGGCCCTTTTAATTTTTAGGGCAACAAATAAAAACTCATAACTTCCGCTATCAATTATTCTGTAATAATCTTTCTTATTATTGATTCATCATTTCATCACACACAATACTGGCAGTCAGAATGAACAAAAACTTCAAATTTGAAAAATCTGGTATCTGGCAAATATATCCAAATTCTCCATAATGAATGACGATATTGGTTACAGTACAGATCCTATAAATAATAAATGTTGTTCCATTGTAATTAGTTTCACTCATTTGAATTTTGGCACTAATTAAGCATTTTTAAGCCAATTTTGATGAACTTATTATATTGAAACATTAGCAGACACAGACTTAAAATAGTCTCACTTGAGCAAATGTACTTTCCCTAAATCAAAGATGTCACATGTACAGTATTCTGTAGAGGTTGTAGTGTGTTGCTTCTCCTCACCTGTGTGTTCATGTTGTGTGTGTGTGTTAAAGAAATTCACCAGAGAAGCCCCCAAAGGAGACCTGGACGTCCTGATCCAGCCTCTCCTGGAGCACTGCAGCTCTGAGAAGATGAACACCTGGCTGGGTGAGTGGAGTCAGTGGACATGATGTGGAGAATGTCCAACCACTGGCCTGGTCTATAAAACTGTGTGTGATGCCCTCAGGTGTGGTGTACGGATACAAAGGCCTGCTGCTGCTGCTCGGCATCTTCCTGGCCTATGAGACCAAGTCCATCTCCACGGAGAAGATCAACGACCACCGGGCGGTGGGCATGGCCATCTACAATGTTGCTGTGAGTAACACTGTGTGTGTGTGTGTGTGTGTGTGTGTGTGTGTGTGTGTGTGTGTGTGTGTGTGTGTGTGTGTGTGTGTGTGTGTGTGTGTGTGTGTGTGTGTGTGTGTGTGTGTGTGTCTGTGTCTGTGTCTGTGTCTGTGTGTGTGTGTGTGTGTGTGTGTGTGTCTGTGTCTGTGTGTGTCTGTGTGACCTGTGTTTTTGACTGTTGGAGCCTGCGGTCTGTCTGTCTGGGCCATCTGGACTGCGTTTGGTAGTCAGCTGATGCTGTGGGACAGAGGATGAACTGAGGAGTTATACAAAGAACTGTTTCATGTGCATGTCAGCCAAAGGCACTTGTCCCCCCCCCCCACACACACACACACACACAGAAGCAGCGTCCTTCCTGGCAGGCAGTGGACACAAATATGCAGGACAGTGACATGACAGAATCAGGCCGGCTCAAGGTGACCAGCGGTTAAACTTGGATACTTGGTGCACTGCATGTCGTGAACCGAGAAAACTTTTGCGCTGTCAACTTCAACCGTATAGTATGTTTGTAATTTCATTTAAGATACGGAAGTAAATTCAAATGAATGCATCTTGGTGTAGGTTTACACAGGATAAACAGCGGGCTCTAGGCTGAAAGTCCGGTGTTTGTTGGACCCTGTGTGTGTGTCACCAGTGTGCCTCTCTGCAGGCTCTACACACTCAGTCCTTCACTTCCGATCCCACAGCCCGGCCTCTCTCAGCAGGCAGTGACTTTCTCTCTGACCTCCTCTCTCCCTCTCACACTCCTGGGGTGTGAGGGGGGGCTCACCTCCAGCCCCCTTTGTTGGGTTACATGAGACGGAATGCGGCCTGTGGCTCTGCTGTCTGGGATTTGTGACTAAATGATGACAACGCTCGGCAGCGTGCCCGGGGAACACAGAGCTGGAGTGATGTGTCCTCATCATCAGGGACACGGTCACATGACACACGCCTAAGAGACATGTGTTTCTCTGTGCACACACATGCACTTTGTTTAAACGTATATGAATAGCGATTAATTCAATTGACAGAACATTTATTGGCGACTATCATTTTGAGTTACTTTTCAGGTTATATAATATTCCATGCCAACTACAGTATGACCCAGCTACAGCTTCTCATTGCTGAAGAGTAGTTGTTTCCTGCATTGTTTTATACAGTAATTTAGTTGGAACGCTGATACAGCATTCCAACTATCTGTTATGCTACGCACAAAATTCTTTATTATTCCGCCGGGTTATTTTGCACCTCTTCTTCTTACATTCTTACATTCTTCTAGATTACACATCGCAGAAACTCCGTTCAAACATCAAAACATTCAGCTCGGTCGGGAATCGATGGCTATTACTTTTCTCATTCATAACTTTCATAATTCCAGAGATACATCCCATAATTCATCACATTTTTAACATGGAAGTCAATGGAGAAAATCTTCTTGAACAATCTTCATGCAACTTCAACTGCTAACTGTTCCTTCATACTTTCACTCAGAAACCTCATTCTAACTTTAAAATGTTAGACATCTTTCTGACATTATTCGTGTAACACAACTTTTAAATCTGATTCGTACTTTTAGAGATATTAAACATTGTTCAGACCTTCTTCAGAGTGCGTGATGTCACCGCTAGAGTGGAGGACAGATTTAATTTTGCCTTCATATTTTCTTTTAAACCGGCCATAATTCCCAAACCCTACATTCCTGAGACATCATTTTTCATGAGAAACGTAGGAAAACATCTCGTAGCTTGAAAAACAAAAAATAATTAAACAAAATGCCTCTTGAGGGCATGAAGTGTCAAAAACTTTCAACATGTCTCCATTAAAGCCAATTGTAAATTCAGCCTCATCTCTCCCCACCACAGCAGCCGCACACCTTTAGTTAATCTGCCAAAAAGGCCACATTATTAACCCGAAAGTACACAAAAAGTACAGTTCAGAAGCTCAAGTTCCTTGACATGCTTCACGCTTTGAAATTTCACCGATATCTGTCACGGTTCTTCAACAAAACGTTCACATATAAGAGGTTTATCTCTCATTCAGAACAATGCAAATGCTCTCCTCTCACTGATTACTGCACATCACCATGGAAACCTTTGATCTCTGGACACGTCGTTAGCTCAAATATAAACACCTGTGTCATGGAACACGATGATGTCATAACTCCAACTGACATGCTCAGAGCAGCAGACTTCAGATAATGGTTAATGGTCCTGCCCTCAACAGCTCTACGTCAATTATGGGGTGTCATCATATGCCGTTTCCATGGAAACGCATCCCTCGCCATAAAACACGATGTCGCTGTAACTCCAATGTACACGGTCCGATCGCCCCCCAAACTTCGCTTGTATATCACCGGTCCATGCCTCAACAGCTTTACGCCAAATCTGAGATCTCACCATAGGCTGTTGCCATGGAAACGCATCCCTCGCCATAAAACACGATGTCGCTGTAGCTCCAATGGACACGGTCCGGTCGTCCCACAATCTTCACCTGTATATCACCTCTCCATGCCTCAACAGCTCTACGTCAAATCTGACATCTCACCATATGCCATTTCCATGGAAAGGCATCCCTCGCCATAAAACACGATGTTGTCGTAACGCCTATGAAAAGGGTCAAAACAGCACCAGACTTCAAATAATGGTTAACGGTCCAGCCCTCAACAGCTCTACGTCAATTATGGGGTGTCATCATATGCCGTTTCCATGGAAACGCATCCCTCGCCATAAAAGACGATGTCGCTATAACTCCTATGAAAATGTTCAAAAAGTGCTCAAACTTCACATGTGTGCTAACAGTCCAGCCATGAAGACATCTACGGGACAGTTTTGAGATTTCTTCAAATGCCGTTGCCATGGCAACACAATGCTCACCATGAAACACGGTTTTCTCATAACTTCAGTGAAAATGCTCCAAACGGCCCAAAACTTCACAGGTTTGGTAACGATGCAGCCATCAACGCATCTAAGCGTATTATGGGATGTCATCAAATGTCGTTGGCATGGCGACAGATAATTCGCCATCAAGTTAGTTCAAAAGTTTGCAGTTCAAATATTCTGCCGCTTTTCCAAGCCTTTTTACTTTCTTTTCTTCTCTCATCACACATTCAAGCCCCCAGTGTTCATGTATCATTTCAATCTAAATTCTTCACTTTCTTCTTACACATTACATTTCAGCATAGCAGTTTAGCGTCAGCTTTTCAGCATAAAGCATTCCCACTAGCAATTTCTTCAGGAATTGCATTCTCTAGTTGAATACTGAATCTCTTTTTGATTTTAGACAAAACAAGAAAATGCCACGTTAGCATGTTAAACAGTGATTGGCATTTTAACATTTATTCTAACATTAAACACAAGTAACAATAATCTGAGTTGCCAAATGTGTGGCCTGGCAGCTTCTGGATCAGGGACAGGTGAGGTGTCATGGCACCTTCCTCACTGCGAGTGGGACTCAGGTTCCCCTCAACAAAGACACGCCTGTTTGCTATCCTGGATCCAAAATGGTGGAAAGAGCTCCACATTGACATCAGGACAGGAGAAAGTCTACATGGCTTCCATCCAATCTCAAAACCCACATGTTTCACTTGGCCTGTCCTCCTCCAAAAAACGACCAAATAGGTCGATTGTTCAGCAGCTTATTACGACCTATACTCATGTTTGAAAGTTTAGCACCTCTAGTGGTCGTGTAAGAAACAAAAATTGGCGGCATATGGGCTGATGCTCCCGTTGATTGCAAACGCTCCGGAGGGTCGTATATTCACAACTAACCCTCTCTGGAAAATCCTAAATTGTAGAATAGTTTGGCCATTAAAATGCTTTTTGATTAGATTTCTAGCGAGAAGTGTATATTGTACTTTTAGAATCCAGGTCCAATGGATGTGTAGGATCTATAGTTTGATAGATATTACGAAGATGATTTGAGGTCTCGCCAGGAGAACGTGTATATACTACGTCTTTCCCCTTTTCTATTGACGGCAGCGTCCATGTAAAGTTGGCGTCAACCCTCACGGGGTGAAAACAGTCTTTCCGGTCTCGAAGTTTTCATAAGAAAACCGGAAGTATTCCCCTCACTGTCAAATGATTTTACAGTGATATCCGCCATACTCATCCTTGAAAAAACATCAGTTTATCCTTGTTAATTACACAACATTGATTGGTTTAAATTGTGTACAATGCTTTTGTATTTTTAACCTTCGATTCGGAGAAACAAATAGTTTTTTCTGAGTTTAGGATGGCCGAAGACACTACACTACCCATAATCCTCAGCTATCGTTTGGGACTACAACACCTGCTTTGCTTGACAAACCCCGTGATTAGTCCTCAAGCTCTGTGATTGGATGTTGGAGTGGCAGTGCGCCAAGGTTACACCGAGCGTCAAACAGCTCTTTGAAATGGAATGAAACCACGGCAGACTATCCAAAACTGGACTCGAACGGGTCCAGCCCTACCCACCACCCCCCAGAACTACACATGCTGGCTAATTGTGTTTCGCAACATGTTCTATGGCACGTCTCTACTGGGAATTGTAGTTTTAAAAGACGTTTTCGTATTTCCCATAATTAGAAGTGGCCATTATTAAACTGTGTACACCCCTGGAGGTTTAGGGGATGGGAACACATTGGTGTTATCAAATTTAAAACATATAATTAATAAATGGGTGAAAATGGCTTGTGTCCATAATGGGCAGCATTAATATATACCCATATGACAGCTAAGGTCAGAATAGCTTTATTTAATAGCTGGTCTTATGTCTGTTAATTGATAAGCCTGAAACATGCACTTGTCAAGGTTCAGAGGCAAATTTTGCAAATATGGCAGTAGCCATCGATCATCTTAAGATAAGATATACTTTATTGATCCCAAGTTGGCAAATGTTTTTGTTACAGAAGCATGTACAACATGCAATTTATTGTTACTTTGTAATTCTACTCCACTACAATTCAGAGGTTAACCTGGTATTTTTACTCCACTACATTTATTTTACAGTTACTT